CCAATATTTCATAATATCTAGAAAAATGTTAGAGATAAGAGAGAACTAGAGAATTTCTAGGCTACAAAAAATGTTAGTAGATGTTATTTATACTCATATTTTCAATTTTAAGAGGAAATTTAATGATATTTTATGGGTAGATTAAGAGAATCAGAGCTGGATTTACTCTACTAAATTTAGATTTTACTTCTTATTGGTTGGGTGAATTTAGCCAAGCTACTGAACATCTTGTTCATTCAGGTCCTTCCAATTTTGTGTCCTTTGTTTGTTGATTTTTTTTAAAATAACCCACTGAGTAAATTATGTATTTCTCATATATTCATAGGTGTGTGGTCATCCACTGCAGCATGGTTCATCTACCAAGGACCATACCCTTAAGAAAAATTGATTCTCCCTCCCCAAGTAGTCATCAATAGTCAATACACAGATAATAAGGAGTCTGAGGCAGGCACTGCTAAACCCTGGACTTGACTATGAAATCCTTTCAGAGACCAGACAGTCAGCCAAGAAGCACAATACAAAGACAATGAGAGAAGATTACAAAGTTCTCTGTGTCTTTCACTCTAGGAAACTAAACCAACCCAATTCCCTGGAGCAGATGTGTCTGAATGAAAATGGTTTTTGAGACCTTAAGAGAGACATATATTATCTCTACAGTGGCCCTGGACTGTAAGAGAGCAGAATGGAAACTGTAATACTAAACCCTGAAGCTGAAGATTTCTGTACTAATGTGGTACCCAAGACACGAGAAAATTCCTTTAATCTTTTATACTTTGTCCAATGAATTTTCATTTTTCTGTTGCCAAGCATTTCCCATGATTTTAGGGGCATATGTACAAACTTCTCGTGTGGTTTTACAGACAATGCAAAGTTCCCCAATATTTCTGGATCTTGGACTCAACTGTTTTGAACTCCACATAGTTGTTGACTGGTGTCAGAAACCAGTAGGTTTAAATGGGATGAAGGAATTATTCTGTATCTTGATGCTTAGGACATTCAATGTACACATGGTACCATGTGCTTAATGTCAACTTTAAGGGGGAAAAAAACAAAAACAAACAAAAAACAGTATACCCCCCCCTTTCTTATTAGTTTGCAGCCAAGGTTTTTCAGCAGAGGGGGACAGTGGCCTGGCCCCCTTATTAGATGGTAGGGACATTTCATCTGACCTCTTTAAGCAGCCCCTTGGGGTTGCCTCAAGAGTGAGACCATCCGATGTTCTTTTTGTGGAGGACGATGTTCTTTTTGTGGAGGACGAGGGTTTGGAACATCAACCTCGATGCATGCAGGCCTGTTCCTCAGAAGGAGAAGGCCTTCTTGCAGTACCATCCAGGTCTGCACCACTGAAGCTGGCTGAAGCAGTAGAACACACAGATAAGAATGCTTCTCTATTCTTTAGGCATCAAGAAATTGAAATTATGTTAGCGTTGTGTTATATCTAACTTTATTGATTGATACTTGGTGTTTCTGATTTTTAATTTAGCTTTTGTTTGAGTGATTCTGTGATGATAGTTTGGAGCTCTTATGTCTATATTTATTATGAACCCCATATATGTCTTTTAAACTTTTAAGAGTAAATCCAGATGCTAAAGTAGGACTCTGGAAGTCAGCTTTAACTGGCACAATGTGATCTGGTATTAAAAAACTAGAGTGACAGCAAGATAATCCCTTCCTCTCCAACATGCAGGGATTACAAAGAGACTCTCCTGGGGCCTGCAGGGACTGGTGGCAGCATCAAAACTCTGTAGGTTGTACTACATGACACTGCCCACTAGTTTTTCAGAAAGGAAAGAGAGCACCAGAACTTTCCAAGCACAGGCCTAGTAAAAAGACTTAGGGTACTTCCTAGAGAGCTTTGCAATGAATTTCTTGAAATTGAGATTGAGATATACAAGGAAAGATTTAGTGCCTGTCCCCCACCAAAAAAAGCTAACTGTGGTGACTGTGGGCTATGATTAAACCCCACCCAGGAAATCTATTAAAAATAGAAAGGCCAACTGCTAATTAGAGAAGAAATCCTTTTGCATTGAGTTGTGACTACACACTCCTCTCTCCCAGGGGCAAAGCCTGTGTACTGTGAATAAATATGGGACTCACAAGAGAGTTAGGACCAATGAAGATGTAGGTTAATTCTGGGATGTATATCTGCATTCTTTCAGATCAGGGAGTGTGTCTGTTTCTACTTGGAGGAAACCTTCAAACTGCTGATTTATCAGTCATAGTTCTGCTTCTCCTATTTAATAAAAATGCACCCCCCCAGTGAAATTATCTCTTTGGGATATAACAAAAAGGCAAGCATTTCATCTCCTAGGTCTACAGATAACATTTCATCTAAGGAATTTGCTTTGTTAAAATAGTATATGAGGTTGCATCACTTTAGCACTAGCTGTTATCTTTAGAATCAGATGCTCACTCACAGTACTGTAATGCTTGTTACAGCTTAGGTGAGGGAAGTGGAAGGCAAAAGGCTATTAGTGTGAGTTGAGTCTCAGATGGGTGAGTCTTGGCAGGGTGGAGTAGTTGAGAAGGGTAGAAGTGGAAAAGTGGAACTGCCTGACTCATCAGGAATGGAGGCAGCTGAGGCCAACACTAACTGCACCCGGCTCTCACTTTTGCAAGTTCTAACACTTGCCAAGATGTGTCTGTATGGGCAAGGCTTTCTCTGATGTAAGTGACTTGAATATAACCCAAAAAACAAATCAATTGTAGTACAATTAAAAAATACACCTTTTATTGTAGTTTTAAAATACAGAAAAGGAACTGAGCATACATTGAAAGCAAAGGCTGAAATGTTAATTAGATGTTAAAATAGTACAAGAGGTTGCATCACTTTAGCATCAGATGCTGTATGTTGGTAGCTATCCCTTTGTCTGATGTATAGAAACCTCTTCTGGTTCCAAGAAATCGCAACTCTGTTGGGCCTTTGCTGGGTGTGTGGCAATATCATTTTGTATGCCTTGATTGTTCCAAGAATGAGGCAGGGACAGAATGACATTGGTAACTTTCAAAATAATAGCTCCATTGATAACATGCCTGCTATGTAAGCATAAGGACTAGAGTTCAGATTCCCAAAATCTATGTAACAGCCAGACATAGCAGACACACCAGTAACAAAAGACCTGTGGGTGGTGGGTAAAGCAGCAATAGGTAGACAGATCCTTAGAGCCAAATGGTGGGCCAGCCAAGCCAAATAAATGAGCTCCAGATTCAGTGAGAGACCATGTCTCAAAGACTAAGGTAAAGAGCAACTATGGGAGATACTCAGTGTGCCAGTGTGCCACCCACAAGCATATGCACAGGCTCTCCCACAACATATGTGCACATACCTATACAGTCACATACATCATACACACACACACACAAACACACACACCTTTTACACAGAATAGTGTCCTAGTGAACCAGTTTTCCAAAAGAAATACTTTTGGTTTGTAGTGTTTGTCAATCTCCATGGTATAAAAATTCCCAGACTGCACAATTCAAAAAATTAAACAATTGTTTTTTTTATAAAGTAGTGTTGTTAGCCCATGCCAGCACAGGGCTGCTTGCAACACAATAAATGTCAACACTAACAGGTTTCTATAAATATATATATGATATAATTTTAATTTCCTGAGAAGATATGCAGACACAAGAGTCTTTGTACTCTATAGCAATTCAGCAATATTCATTAAAAAATAAGAAGAAATGGCTTTGCCTACAATAAGTCTTTTTGTTATATACAATGAAAATATTTTAAATTATCCTTATATAAAACATAATTATAATATAGATTTTCACAAATACCCATAAATATTGTAAATTGTTTTAAAATCTTTTCAACAAGAACTTACAAGCTGGTTAAATTTAACAGAGTCCAAAGTTTGAACATGAATGTTCTTTGTTACTTGGAGAAGTCAGCCCGCTTAAATGAAATGGGCTCTTCCAACAGGGTCCTGACTTTTCTTGCTCCAGGCAAGAAGAAGACAATGTTTGCTAGCAAAGAAAGACTCTCTTGTAGCTTCATTCTGGCTACCATGGGGTAAAGGTGATGTATCCATTTTAAAGTTTTAAAATTTGTTCTGTTTTACAGATGTATAATGAGAAAGTAGAAATAGCAGTTTCAAATCAGAGACCAGGTGAATGGCAAAATCCCACTCAATTCATTGTGAATTTGAGCTGTCTATCCATTTTCTCATTGTTCAAATTATTTTTCTAAAAATATCTGCCCCATTAACATCATAGAGTTGGATGATATAGGAAAATTGATATATTTACCAGTTAGACAACACCAACTAAAAATTTGGAATCATTTCATAATATAGCTGAGAAATACCAATTTCTGGGGTTAAATCTGATAACTACTAGTACAAACTCTCATTTTACTGCTTGCAGTGTTTATGCACACATACATACAAAAACAATGGAGGTTTATGTGAAAGTTCAGAATGAACCTGCATCCTGAGCATGATGAAATCAAGAAAAATTCCCTTATCAATTTCATTCCATGCCATTTCCACCTCCATCCCAATAGGTTTCATAGTGTTCTCCATCCTCTAAAAATACCACATCTAAAGGAAGGTGTTGTTGGCATACCTTGGCCACCCCACCAGTCTGACAGCATTTCATTAGGAGGCTCTCAGAAGGTGAGAGTACGAAGAGATTAAGGTAAAGCAGTTCAAGGAGATTATAATGAAAAAAAAAGGCCCAACACCTTCTTTTTGCAAACCAAGTAAGAGTCCCATGGAAATAGGACCTCATTTTCCACCCAGGGATTCGAGGGTTAGAAAGAGAGACTTCAGAAGGATATTTTTGTCCTCTGCTATCTATACTTATTTTATCACTGATTATGAAAGTGTATTTCTAGACCATCAGGGATTTGGCCAATTCACTGAGTCTTCTTCAGGCAGATACGAGGGTCAAAATCTTAATGATGCCAAGAGGTTATGTTTGTGTTGATTTGTAAGCCACCACAAACTGCGTTCACTGCAAACAGTCAACCCCCTCCAACCTCCCCCCACCAGCATTGCTGGATACACTGAGAAAGATGATGAGACCAAACCAAATCTCTAGGAGCTGAATGAGAGATCTGGCATTAAAATGATGCCCCAATATGTATTATTTTTTTGAACATGGTTATCACAGTTGAACCTCAAATATATGGAATCTCCAGCATGCAGTTCATAAATCCCTCCAATAGTTAGGATTTGAAAGTCATTTGTTGCAGATTGTAAAACATTTCCTTCTTTAACTAGCTCTACTATAAAATCAGCAGAGTTTTGTATATTTCCTTTATCGACAGGAGTCACTTGGCCATAGATTAAATACACGCCATCCTGAAGTATCTCCAGCTTCCCGTCAGATGTCATATTTACACAAAGAGGTTCAGGAGATGTCATTTGCCACTTTGAAGGTGATAGTTCTATAAGAAATTGAAAAATGAATAGAAAAAATAAATCATTATTGTTTCATCCTCTACCTAGTTATAGTACATTCTTTACTACCTACAGGTGGATCCTTTACCTAGTCTATACTAGTTTTTTTCAGATCGTATTTTAAATATATTGTGAGATCCTTCATGGCTCTGTGCCTCTTCTCTGGTAGTATGAATGAAGAAGGGAGGGAGATGAGAGAGGAATCACACTGAAAGACTAGAATAAGGACTGCCCATTAATTCATACATCCCGTGTCTTTCTCATATGAACAGTATTTACTCTGTGGTGGTTTACCAATGACACGTTCCCTAACCAGTCTACACTCATCATTTCTCTCCTGTGACTCCCTTGCTTTCTACTGCTTTAACTTTCTTAATAGAAAGTATTAGCAAGAGGCATGTTATAAATTTGGCCATTTTTCTACTGTCTTACATCCACTTAAATATGACATCTTTGGTGCTAAGTATTCTCCATTTTTTTCCAACTGCTATATTCCTATCACCTAAGCAAGTTTCTAGAGTAAAAGTTCTAAACTTTTACTTTGATATGGAAGTCTTGCTATATTGCTATATTGCCCAAATTGATGAGTTCAAGAAATCCTCCCACCTTGGCATCAGTAAATATCTCTAAACTGGTTGACAGGTCTGTGTTTCTTAATTTGATGCTTTGTGTCTAAAATATGTTTCTTTATACCACTTTCAACCCCACAGACCATTATCTAGCTTTCTTCCAAATGCCTACTTGTACCTTGATGACTTTATAATTAGAAATAAATGCATTTAGTTAACTATCCCTAGTCTGATAATGCTATATGGAAGGTGGGTAATATATCCAAATTTAATCGTTCCTTTTCCTATATACTACACGTACATATTTCCCTAATGTTAGCAGTTTCATACGGCTATGTAACTTCAAGGCCCCAAGAGATGCTTTTACTGGTTCAAAGTTCTTGTTTGGCCTTTTCTCTAATTCTTGATAACTTTAGTTTTAGAGTACAAAGTCCTGAAAAAACTAACACTGACTTAAATTCTCATTCATACAGAAACAACTAGTAGAAGCCTTGGAGGTAGATGCTGGAGAAGGAAGGATTGACCATTAGAGAAAAAAAGCAAAGCCTTGCTGAATTGCCAGTGATCTCTATCTCTCCTTTAAAACAAGTGTTGTTTTAAAATGACGCCTTCGCATCATTTTTATCACATTAAGGAGAAATTTCAATGTATGTTATACTCCTTCCACTGGGCAAAAACAAAACACAAAATCAGGGACTCATTCAAAGAATGTCCTAACCTCTGAAAGCAAGGTATTTTGAAAAACTGGACCAAAAGATGGAAGAGTGAAAAACTGAATTATAGAAATTGTCTACTCACAAATGAAAATGTGTTTGTTTGGCCATATAAACAATCAAAATGTGTATGCTTGATATTTTGAATGTATTCTAAGGAATATTTTGAGACTCAATGTGATTGTTAGCTTTTCTTGTCAACTTGACATAGCCTAGAGTCACCCAGAAAGGGGGTCTAAGTGAGAACTATCTGTATTGAGTTGGTCTATAGGGATTGTCTTAATTAAGTTGATAGATGTGGAAAAATACAGCCCACTACAGTTGGTGCCATTCCCTAGGCAAGATGTTCTGAACTGTAAGAAAGTAGAGAAATGGAACTGAGTATAAGAAAGCAAGCAAGTATATATTTCATTTCTCTCTGCTTTTGACTATGAATGTGACTCGATGCTTCAAGCTCCTGCTGCTATGATTCCTGGGCAATTATAGACTATAATCTGCACTTGTAAGCTAAAATAAATCCTTTTCCTCCTAAGTTTATTCATGTTTTCATGTCATGGTATTTTATTGAAGCAACAGAAATGAAACTGAAACACTCAGCAACACTGTTTTTCACTATTTTCTGAGCAGCTATCGGGTGACTATAAAGGAAAGTGACTCAGAAGCAATGAGGAAGTGCCTGTTCCTCTCTCTAACTTTCCACTCCTCTTCTATGCACTTACTAATGGCAATAATGTTTCCTGTGTGCTCTAATAGGTATCAGAAATTTCTGAAATGTAAGAAATACTTTGAGAAAAATTGGTAAGACTCTGAAAGGTAACCTTAATAAAATACCAAACTAAAGGCTGATTACACAAGTTTTTCAGTGTGGTGTATACGTCTGCCAGGAGGGTCACCAGATATGGACTTGACAATTTGGTTCAGCTCTGGAAACCTCAGCTCTCACTAGGCTGGTGGCCAAGTAAAGAATGAGTGATCACACACACATACACACACACACACACACACACACACACGTGAAAGTTGGCAAAAGAATGTACAGGCTCTTGGGGCAGGGGGGCACTGGCAGCTGCCTTCTTGCATCAAAAACTAAGAAAAATGAAGGATGGGTTGGTTACTCACCGAACTTAACCATGCAGGGCTCTTTGACAGTTGGCTGTAGAAGGAAAAGAACTGGTCAGAATGACAGCACAGTTGCTACTTGCTTGCCTGAATTATTGAGAGCTTAAAGATTCTGAAGCAAACTACTTTTCAAAGCAAAACAAACAAACAAACAAAGCCCACCACACATAGACACCTGTCTTACTTCTTTGCTTCCCTCTATAGATGATTGGCTCTGTTCTCTGCATTTGACTTACAGTAGTGTTGACATTACAGTTTGGGGAAGAGAGGAAGGAGCAAGTGAGGTATGAATGCAAGAGAATGGGTGTAATTAGACACACTGGAATTTAGCTGTATAAGGAGACACAGAAAGGCATGGATAGAGTTATTGCAGTGTTATTTTAATTTTAAAAATGGTATCATTGAATGATAGATTTGATAACAAGAAGAAAGATAGCAGATCTCTTTGAGGTCTTTCATTGAGAGCTTTAGTATCTCATTCTGTTCATCTAACTTGAATCCACAAGGCAAGTATTGGAGCTGTGTTCTTTCCCTTTAGTTTACTTCAAACAGCAGTCTCTATGTCCCTATGGTGTCCCAAGATTACCTGGTGTATGAGGGAAGAAAATAATGAAACTTCTACTTATGTTTCTCTTTACTTAGAAACAACAATGAATTGACTCTAGAAATACTTAATGTTTATAAAATCACATGCCACCTATAAGAAGTGAGATGCCCTCAGAATCAGATACTACTGTTTCAAATGTGTGTAACATGCCACAGCTTACATGATGAAAGATAACATCAGTTATGGCTAATTTGCAAATACAGTCACTTAACTGCTATCAAATGCTTGAGAGTAAAATAAGGCATAACCATCAAAAATTTTGGTTCTCAAAATTCACTGGTTTCCTTGAAGCAATATGCTCAAACAGACTTTTATTTATTTGTTTATTTATTTATTTATTTATTTTAAAAAGCATGGAAAGTGATACATGTGCCTTTTAAAGGATCTGTCCAGCTATTGTGCTAGGAAAAACACTAAAGAGAATGAAAGGCAAAAGCAATTAAATCAGTTAAGCACAGGCTGGACTCATGTAAAAAGGAATGCACACTGCCTCTGACCAAGGTGCTGGAAGAGCAGGAAAGGGCCAACTGGTCTGACACAGTGATGCATGCCAGACATAATAGCACTTAGGAGGCAGGCTAAAACAGAAGGAGCATGAGTTTTAGGTCAAGCTAGGATATATTTCAGAGAAAGCAAGCAAGAAGTAACTGGTATTTCTGGCACAAATACTGGTGTGAACAATAGAAAGAAACAAAGATAACTTTAAGATTTGGAACGGCAGTCAATGGAAAAATAAAGTTAATTGCCAAGATGGGCAAGACTAGAGAAATAAAGAGAGGAATAATCATGAGTTTTGAATGTGTTAATATGTAGTGCTTATTAGATATCAAGTAGGCAGTTAGATATACAACGCTGAGGCTTGTTGCTTCCAGACATGACATTATATGTCAAGTCCAAGAGTGTATATAGAGATAAATACTGGCAACCTTTGGTATTTAAAGGTCAGACAATGAGGAAGAACTTTCTAAGGAAGATTGGTGAAAAAAAAAATGGAAGTGTGTGATGTTTGGGAACCAAGAGAAGAAAGTCTTCTGGAGAGATTGATCAGTTGGTTTCAAATGGTAGATCAAAAAAAGAAAAGAACAAGAACTGGATTTAGCTCAAGTTTCACTAGAAGGAATTTAAGATGATATGAGAAAGGAAAAATTTGGAAATTTGCTACACAGGAGTATAGTAAAAGTGAGAAGGACCTGGATAAGGATGAGAAGTCAAAGAGGTCCTTCTCTTTGTATTGGGTTCTGTCTTTGGCTTTATTTGTTCAAATATGAAGGAGATAGCAAGTTTGTTCTTGACATTTGATGGGGCTGGTCTAATCAAATGACAGAGGTAGTTCAGAAGAACTAGGCCCCGAACTGCAGCCATGCTCTGAGCAGGTGAGACATGAGAGAACTATTTCAGAGGTCGCTTTGGCAGGTACATGGATGATGCATCCATGCAGATGAAGAAAACACAGTTATATGGGCACAGATGCAGGCAAGTTGGAGAAATAGTCTTTCCTCTCTCCTACTGAGAGATTGGGAAATGGTTCCGGAAAGTCTAAAGAGGAGCCAAGAGTGTAAAGTATTTTAGTGAAGGAGAATAAATGCAATGGGGAAGTACAGACCATTTCCATAGCAGCAAGGAAACCCCACTTGAAGCTAGTGGCCCTGAACATATAAAGAAAGCATATTCAAAAGGCCTTGTGTTTTTCTCGGAGGAAGACCCAGTACACTTGGATTTAATTATTGCTGGAAGCTTTTGATTGCTGGGTTTTGACACTGGAGTGCAGTGATCAGAAAAAGAAGCAAGTGAGTGAATTTGTGTAAGGAAAGAGATATAATTAAAGACTTCGGAGGTTAGTTGTGTAATGGGAAAAATAAAGTCATGGATGGAATGAAATATTTTAATTTTAAAAAGCTGCCCCATCAAATGATAATGTTAATTGAGTGTCATGGCAATTAAGAGTATACAAAGATGCTGCAGTAAATTTTCATCTACTATTCTTTGTAAATTAAATTTCAATTGTCATAGTGAAAGTTATGAATCAAGATAAATTGGAATATAAACTTTAAATTGCTGTATTATAAAATGTTAAACTAAGCCGGGTGTTAGTAATGCACTCCTTTAGTCCCAGTACTCAGGAGGCAGAGGCAAGTAAATCTCTGTGAGTTCGAGGCCAGCTTGGTCTACAGAGCTAGTTCCAGGACAGGCTCCAAAACAATACCTGTCCCCCCCCAAAAAAAAAACAAAACAAACAAATAAATAAATAAATAAATAAATAAATAGTTAAACTAAAATTAAGACAACAAAGCAATATTACCAAATTACTGGGGCTTTAAGTTTGAGCCCCAGTATTACAAAAACAATTATTTTGTTAAGTTTGTATCATGTGTGAATACATTATAGAAAACATCTTAGTTAAAAACAAAATAGATTTAGACTGGAAGATCTGTATTAAACCTTTAGAGTAATGAGTTTCTATCTTGTGTGTCTATTTGTATGCATGGTATTGTACTGGCAAATGAGATACTATTGGACACACATCTGTTGGAAATTAGAATGAAAGAATTTAATGATAAGAAGGTACAATAGAAAATGGTGGAAGCCATGAATCTAAAAATTGTAAGTTACTGGATTTCCTGAAATCAGTTTTACTCTTGCAATTATTCATCCCATTTTGGTTTTTCTTATAAAAGATGTCCAAATTCAATTTAGCAGGGACTCCCATAACCCATTTCCTCATCCATTAACCATGGAATAATAGAAGACAGAGTTAACTGAGCCAGTTCTACATAGCTGTGCTGACTCTTGAGACTTCTCCAGACATTCTATCTGAACCTGCTTAGTAAAGATCAGCTATTTTTATCATGATGATGGTTATAATGAAGAATTAAATAAAACAGCTTAAGTACCTGTATCCGCAACATTATACTAATGTTGTAAGCAAGAGAGACAAATTGAATGTATAATTGTTGCCTCTCAAGAAGTATGTAATATAACTAAAAAATACATGGTCACATATGTGAAGCAAATTAAGTAGCCACCTAAATATAAATGGCATGAATTGTATTCCAGCTGTCACTGTGTATACAAGTACATAGAAAACCTAAATCCATAGACAATGAACTGACAGGGACAAACATCCAGAAAACCTATTGCAAGCTTCTTTACTATCTATTTGGAGTCTGAAAACACCACCGGTTTGTCTTTAACTATTGCCACAGGTGACAATCTAACTGGAAAATCATTAGTTTGGTTAAAAGACATGATCTCCTAATGAGGAAGGGATAGAGCCAGACAAACCGCACATGTTTTAACTGACCTTGCTGGTTTGTATTCAGTGTGACCTTCTAACTAACAAGAGTATGAATATTAATCACTACCACCTATCTAGAGCCTACCATGAATCAGGCACGTCAAGCACTTTACTGCCTCATTATTCCTTGAGGCAACTCTGTAAGAATTAGCATGTTCCTTCTGCAAATGAGGAAATGAGGACACAGAGATGAAGTCACCAGCCCAAGGCCACATGGCTGATAAGAGGCGAGGATGGGATCCAAAACCAGACTGTCTCATTCATCCCTACCATTCACAGAGGCAGTTTCTATTTATAATTCTGGTGATGTTATGAAAAAAGTTACACACAAGCCTCTCAGTTTACTTTAATTTTGCTTGCTTTTATTTAGAAGGGTCAGGTTCTCTTCTGACCTCACTTTGGCTTAAACCTAGATTACTTGGTTTGTCTTAAACTGGCCAAAACAGATTTTAGACTAACTCTAACCACCTCCATTTTGGAAACAAACTCTACTCTATTTGTTTGCAAGTATAGTTGTACAAATTCTATTTTCCCTTCTGGAATTCCATCTTTTATTTCACCGAAGAAAGGGACTTTCCTGAATAGTTGGATCCTTCAGAGGGAACTACTGTGAACTACTTTCATAGAGGAGTGGCCAAATTCCTTGAGCTGAGTCTAGACTATTAACTAGATGTCTTCCTTAAGAGAAAAAATAAATTCACCCAAGAAAATTTCTGTAGTTCTGAACTGAATCAAGCTTCCCATATTACTTTTAAGAATAACCATCTAGAAGGGGCTTTTATAAATGGAAATTTTGATGAAACAAAGGAGTGGAGAAAGAAAAAAAATAAGAACTTCTAGGCTCCTATGTATGAGAAGGTAGAAGTGACTGCCTCATATGACCCACCATCTGCCATCCACTCAGATCTCTCTCCTAGAGATATTTATTTGTAACTAGTAAAGAAATTGTAATACTCAAGTTAATATTTAAGGCCAGTGGCTTTTCCATAGTAACTAGGCTGCCAAGCATTCTGCAAGGAAAATAGACTCCAAAACCTTTTTTACTCTCCTAAGTTTGGAATATACTCACAGGTATGTTTAGAGGGGTAACCCTTCATTGAAAGGGGTGTGTCCTAATGAGGGGGTACTCTGTAATCAAAGCCCAAAACATCATGAATTAACTGAGTTTGATTGTGAAAAAAAGCTATCACTCAGAAAACAAATTTCCCTCCCCTGCACATCACATGCAGGAGTCCATGACACCTAGACTCAGAAACCAATGCTAGTCTAATTCTTCCTCCTTTTCAAAACTTCCAGCACTTGAGAATGTTGACAGCCCTTTCCCTTTTGCTCAACATTCATTGCTTTAGAAACTCCCTTCTTGGTTCCTTCTTTGGAAATGTAAAGCTGGGATTAGAACTCCCTCTGTAGTTACAGACTACAAAATAATGGGCTCCCATGTAAAACTTCAGCCAGTACATACTAACTAACCTAGTGTCTGCAACACACTACCTCCTTCTGTATCTTTCCTCAATGTCTTGTCAGTGTAGAACCACACCTTTAAACCATCACTGGATGGTCTTCTTAAAAAATCATACTCCAAGCCTTTCTTACACAGGTATACATCATTTTATTCTGCTCAAGGCTTAGATACTTTTAATGCAATGGGCTAACTCTTAAGTTTTTGCTTTTCAAGACATGGTTTCTCTGTGTATCCCTGACTGCTCTGGAACAGGAAGAAGAAGAAGAAGAAGAAGAAGAAGAAGAAGAAGAAGAAGAAGAAGAAGAAGAAGAAGAAGAAGAAGAAGAAGAAACCTTCTAGAAAGAACCTAACTTATATACATTCCCAGTGCAGATCCCATCTAGACCCAGAATTTAGACTGCAGTTCACTGGGAAATTCCTGATAACAATCAGGGGCTTCCCAAACAGACATGTGCTCCTCTTTTCTCCATGAAAACCTTCCCTGGTCACCCCAGCCCCAAGTCATTGTCCTCACTTTAGAATTCCTAAAACTACAACTACATGTCATATACAACTTAAGTAAGTTATTGAGCAATGTAATTATAGCTAACAGGATGCAAAGTAAAGGGATACATTCTCCTATCACCATATCCTAAATACTAGACCTAAAGTATTAGAATCAGAGCAATGAAACAACTTTCTCAAAGTGTGCAGTTGGTTATGGTGAAATTAACCTAGAGCCAGAGTCCAGAATTCCCTTTTTCTAGTTCAGCACCATTTCCCTCTTCAACATGCACTTGCTTCCTGTTGCTTCATTTTCTTCCACTATCTTTTTGTGTCTCTTCCCCCATGAAGACCTCAGCTCATCTGGAATCATGTGAGGGGAGCACCATGTTTCAGGTCTCTTTTTTTCTATCAAGAAGGTACCAGTGGGCTTTCAGGAAGGGAAAGAAAGCCCCACAGTCACCTTTTAAACTCTGTTTGAACATGAGGTAGTTCCACCAAGCTCAAGCCTATGGTGGACACTTAGTGTCCTCTGGTGTCTTTTGTCTCAAAACATTTAGATGAGTTTCAAGAGCCATGCCATTACAAGACTGAAATTTTTTACACTGTTTGTACCCTCAGATCTTTTTCTTCCCACTACCTCTAGCAATACTGAGTGGCAATGATAAAAATCAAACTAACAAATAAATAGCCTTTATATACTATAATCAGCACCTGTAGGTTCCTTTACTACCTTACCTTGAATGAAGCAAAGATCAGTGCACCCGTGGTGTAGAACAGCAGCAACAACAGAGGAACTATGCATAACAGCCATGGCTTCCTAAACCTCTGTGCCTCTCGAGGACTTGCCGGGCTCAAAGGCATTTCCTCCATGAGACTAGAACTCTTTCTCTGGAGGGATGAGAGCTCTGGAAAGCAGATATGCACAAGTGATGGGTGAACGATGCAATGTCATGTTTTATAGTAATTAGTCGTGGGTGTGGGAGGTGGAGTTTTCCTTTGGAACACTGTTGAGCACTGACAGTCATCATGGCACCTGGCCAAAAATACAAAAGGAATGGGAAGGCTTAGCGCCAACAGAAACACGGGAGGGAGGGGAAAGCCACTACGAAGGAACTTCAGAAGGGAAAACGTCTTTCCTGAAGAAGAGGAAGTACTGTGAGCATACACAGCCAGCCTCAGCTGCTGACAAACGCTCCGTGCATTCCAAATGATTTCCAATTAAGAAAAATTTTGTAAGAATAAATAAAACTTAAAAATAAAACTTAAAACTAAGTTTTATCATACTGAAGCTGTAATGCCTGGGTAAGATAGAGAGTTCAGGAGCAAAAGAAGCAAGGATACATGGTTTGAACAATATAGTTCTCATGGAGTCATCACATTGCATACTTCACATATGTACCATTTTATGCATAGACTACCTTGGTAGCAGTTTAAAAATATCAAATTAAAAGCTATAATCATAAAAAATAATTTTCTAGATTAAAAATTGTGCGTATTCTGAAATAGTCTTAAAAAAGAAAGAAAAGAAAAACTGCAGCTGGGGGCTGGAGAGATGGCTCAGCCACTAAGAGTACTTGCTACCCAGAAGCAATAGGGTGGCTCACAACCATCCATCACTCCAGTTCTAGGGGACCCAACCCCCTCTCTGACCTCCAAGTATACCAGACATACACATAATGCATATACATACATACATACATACATACATACATGAGCAAAATTCTCATACACATAAAATAAATCTAAAAATTTAAAAAGCAACCGCAAGTACATTACTAGAACTTAGTAAATGTTGGAAAATAAAACAATGGTCAAATTTCTCATACCTTGACAATGCTGGCATCAAATAGAAATCAAGTTATCCTTTAAAAGTTAATCCCAGCATTTGGGAGGCAGAAGCAGGTGGATCCCTTAGTTCAAGGCCAGCATGGTTTACAGAGTGAGTTCGAGGACAGCCAGGACTACTGCATAAAGAAACCCTGTCTTGAAAAGAACAAACAAACAAAACCAGGTTATTTCCTTGGCTTGCACTCTGTCCTTCACCCACAAATATAGATTTTTTTTAATTCTTATTTTATTCCCATGTAGCACAAAACTGAAGCCCCTTGTTCTCTGTACCTTAGCCTCCTAATCTGTTAGAAAAAAAATTATTGCCTGTCTTACAGAATGTCAGTATCATTAGCTAGAGACCTCATGGGCTTTTAATCTAGACACACCTGAGAACATTGCCCAGTACAGCTCACCCCTAACTTGCTATATGGCCATTAGTGGATTTCTCTGAGCCCAGAATTGTACTTCATAACAGTTTTGCAAGAGTAAAGTAAATGTACTAAGTTTAGCTTACAAAAGACATCCCATAAGAATTAGTATAGCTTGTCTCTGCCCTCTTTAGAAGTGTAGAGATAATCTCAATTATAAAATCCTAGAAAAGAGTGAATATTTATTATTTTTCATAGGAAATAATTCAACTGGTTAATTTAAATGAAAGTATTTTGGAGACAGTATCTTTTTAATCCAAAAAAAAAAAAAACAAAAAGGTCAAAGTTTTTTTTTTTTTTTAAACAGAAAGACATTTAATGTCCTCACTTATGAAAAAGGAAGCTAAAGCTACTAGAGTTTGGTGGTTCCTCAAACCACTAGTAGCTGATGAAATGGAAATCCTAATCCAGAAATCACAGAATTTTGTGACAAAGCAAGATCTGTCTTAGTGTCACTATTTTGGGCAGTCTTTCCTGCTGAGTTGTCAAACTTCAACTTGACCTTATTATATCTTAACCAATACACTACTTTTGAGGAAGGTGGTTATACCAGAATGATTCTTCAATACAACAGACATTTTTATGATTATGTTCTGATAAAACCATCCAGGGGTGAATGAGAAGCTGACTCTTGAGGAAGAATATTTCAATCTTGTACCCCTTGCCCTGTGTCACAAGTCCTTGAAATCCACTGAGAAGAAGAGCTCTTTCCTTCTTGTTTATCCATATGCTCATTTCTTGTCTCCTGTCCAAATGTTGGATAAACTTCTGCTTACTCACTTCAGTAGAGATGCGTTGGCCTGAGGAACAACTCCAAGTAAAATCCGTGTCCAGCTTCAGATAAAGGTTGGGCTTGGGTATATTCTTATTTTAGCTTTGTGACAGTATCTAAAGAAAATTGACACATTCCAGGGCATCTTTGCATTACACAGGACTCAGAAATGATGAAACTTCAAGTCAGCACAGGAGACCTTTGTGACATTTCAAGATTCACCAAAGAAAAATGAATACCTAACTTAATATTTGTCTTAACTTAGGGCCTCCTTAGGCTAGATAGTTGGAAATAGAATTACAAACAAAATTAAATCCAACTAGCAAATCTATTTTATTTTGTTTTGAAATGGTAATATAATTATATAATTTCTCCCTTCCCTTTCATCCATTCAACCCCTCCCATATATCCCTTCTTGCAAGAAGATTTGGAAGAATATTTAAATCACTGTCACCAAATGATTTGCCACCCAACCCCATTAAAATTATATATACATATACAGAGAGATCTATATCCAAATGAATTCTACATTTAAGATAGTACCTCAGAAAGTAGAAAGATCTAGGTAACTTAAATCATTGAAAAGGCAGATTAGGAATGGCTCTCTTGGCAGAAGAAAGACACTTTTTTCTTCTGAAGGAATAATAAAACTTAAAGAATATATTAACAAGCATGTGCTTGCTAGCACCTGCAAGTGCTAGACATTAAATGAAAATGTTCAGAAAAAAACAAAATAAATTCCTTCCATGTTCTTTCAGGTTGAAAGAAGGGGCTCAATCAAGCAATTTAACTGTATTCATTACTGTCTTAAATTGAGAATGAATTAGTTATATGCACACACACACACACACACACACACACACACACACACGATTGTAATTCTGATAGAGGATATCCTTCTGTATGCTATGAATATATGCTTCTCTTATTGGTTGATAAACAAATGCTGATTGGCAATTAAGTAGCCAGGCAGGAAGTATAGGCAGGGCTACCAGACAAAATAAATTCTGGGAAGAGGAAAGGCAGAAAGAAGAGCCACAAAAGAGATGCCATGTTGCTACTGGGAAGGTAGGATGCCCAGGCATTCTCTGGTAAAAATAAGACCATCTAGAAATACAGAGGTTAATAGTTATAGGTTAATAATTAAGAGAGAGTGAACCAGTAAGAAGCCTAAGCCATTGGCCAAACAGTTTATAATTAATATAAGCCTCAGTGTGTTTATTTGGAACTGAACAGTTGCAGGACTGGGAGGGATAGAAATTTCAATCCACATAGTTCAGCTCGGAACTAAGTATAACACTAAAATGTATTAGTCATCCATGTTATGAGTAGTTTTTCCCACCGGTCTGGTCCCCCAGCCCTGCCAGCCCCAATTAACACATAGAGACATTGTATTTGATATAATGCTGTTGGCCAGATACTAGTTTCTTATCGGCTAGCTCTGTCTTAATTATTAACCCATTTCTATCAATCTAAGTACTTCCATGTGGTCTTATCTTAACGGAGGGAGAAGTTGGCATTCTGCTCTCTCCATCCTCCATCTTGGATCTCCTCCCTCCTACTTCCTCTCTCCTCCTAGTCTCCTAGTCCTGCCTATCTTGCTTTCCTATTGGCCAACAGTGCTTTATTCATTAACCAATAAGAGAAACATTTACAGAATGACATCTCCCATCATCTCCTCTTTTCTATCTAAAATAAAAAGAAGGGTTTTAGCCTGAGTTATCAAATAAGAATCACAGTTACCAATGTTTAGTCCATTAACATTAGCAAGATTTAAATATTTTATCATCTATTCTATTTTAGTGAGTATAAAGACTTATATGTAACTTATCTTTAATCTTAGTAAGAAAAACTATAACCATAACTATCTGTCTTCAACTCCTTCAAAGACCACAGAAGGCTAATATATAAACTCTAGAAATGACAGAGACAACTCACTGCCTGGTCAGTCACCTGAAGTTCTTCTGTAATGTTCCATCTTCAGCCTGTAGGTCATAGTCTGTCTGGCAGACTCCTCAGCAAAGCAGGAAACTTTAAACTGTCCACCTGTATGAGCAGTTTGTCAGTCACTTTTCTTTGTGTCCTGCAGACTGTCTGACAGACTCTTCCATGAAGCAGGAATCCTGTAGCACTGTCCATCTTGTGTCAGCAGTCATTTTTCTGTGGGTCCTACATGCCCAGTTATGCATAAAGTCAAACAATCCAGACAAGAGAAGTATCTTGTCCAAATGGCTAGTCATGCCATATTGGAAGCAAACTCCATAACATGTTTCTTTAATGTCTACCTTTCATTCTGATGCAGGTGGTATTGCCAGGAGCAGTTATGTCTCGCTGTCAAGAAAAACCCTAAACCATTTTACATGTCATATTTTGTAGGTCTTTGAAAGGTTTGAAGAATGTTTATTTATCTCAAATATATCTCTGTGTATCTAGAAAACCTAACTCACCTAACTAAAGTTTTGACTATTATAAGTAACTATCTACAATCTGTACTAAATTATATATTACATTTTTAAATGAGCTATATAAACACAATACCTAAACAAGAGGAGAAATGCACATATTAAATTGTATCAATAAATGAAAATCCATTCCAAAGCAAAATATTCATATCTATACCACAATCCCCTTTTTACCTTTAAAAAGATTGGTTGTGGTCATTAACTATTTATAACAAAGCCCACTTAAATACAAACAAACATTTATAAATAATATTTGGGAATTTGGGCGTCGTTCTTTCCATTGGTAGGGGGCGCTGTCATGGGGATCCTAAGAAGACACAGAAATCCTGGCTGTAGTCTGCAAAGCTGGCTTGTCCAAGCTGAGAATAGATCATATCATTTTGCAATATGATGTGACACAAGCTACTTGACACTACATTGCTGTCAAATCATATTTTACCCAACATCGCAGAGGTTCTGTATTTTACCTGTCAACATAGTTAAAGTAAAAGGTTTTAAGCTTCCTGACAAATTAGTTTACCATACTCTCCTTGCTTTCCTTGGTCATCTTTGGAAAGGGGTTCGGGGAAATTTTTCTTAACCTATATTGATCTCTCCACCTGAGGAAGATCTTAAAAGTACACACTTTAA